TGATTCAGGTTTGTAGGGAAAAAGTATGTCAGCGCCAACCAAATATTCTCCAATGACAAGGCTGCTTCAGACCCATACCAACCATTAATTTATATCACCAATGAAGGCGTAATTAAAGCAAAAATTTTTTTGGCAGGAAAGGAAATCAGAAGTCACAGATCTGCAGCCCCCTAGATGCACTGCCCTCCACACCCCATGGCTCTGGTGCCCTCTCCATCAGCATCATCCCCAGCGAGCAAACAGAAGAAACTGTTCTTAAGTCTTGACACCACGGAGGCCATTAAGACACTTAGTGATCCCTTCTGAAAACAAACTATAGATTTCCCTGAGTCCTCTCCCCTCTTCTGAACCCAGCTACCTAACTCCCCACCCACACAAACTGCAGGATTGTACTTGGCCCTTGTTTCACAGATACTTTCTTCGTTGCGCAGAGTGTGTATGTTCACTAATCCGGAGCTGGTAAATAATCACAGAAAACAGGAATAGTAGCCTAAAATGGAAGAAACAAGATTCTGATTTTGTATCTGTCTTCTGGCCACTTCACTGAGTTTTTCTGATCCAGAGAAGCTGTGCCCTGAACGACTAAATGCAGAGCAAGAGATGAGCCAACACCTCAGCGTATAAGGTGGGAGTGGCAGTCACAGCAAATCCTGGAGCAGGCTACATGCACTCACTCACAAGCTTAAAGGCTGCATGTAAATCTACAGAAAATACCACAGTTATCTTCTGGATTGACATAATCGCATAGTCCATGATGATCAGCTAAATTCACACCACAACCTTAAATATATGCTTATTTTCTATATTCATATTCAATACTTTAAAACTTGATTTGGTGGTTTAGTATATATCCCCTTCTAAAATACGTGGTGAATAAAGCAACAAAAGGGTAAAAATCTGCCACTGTGTTGTACTGCTGCTGTCACACTCAGGATGTAGCAAAAACACTAGCTTAAGGAAAACACCAATACAACAAATGCTTTTGCATTTTTAATATGGATAAAACAGCCACCTCTCCTTGAATTATCCAGGTTTGGGTGGGTGGATTTGTTTTTTTTTTTTTCCCCCTTTTGTGGAGAACACAATCAGCTGAGAATTGCACAGTACCCTTTCTGAGTTTCTTATGAGAAACAAACAGGGAAACTCATACATTTTAGAGGAACCTATTGTTGGTTACTCTCATTTAATCATACAGACAAAGAAACACTTTAGTGAACAAGGTCAAAAGTGTAATTTCACTGCTGTCATGGGTCTATTGGGATTTTGGTGTTCAAAACAAAGAGGCATCTCCTACTGTTAGGAGTATTCAGGGGACACCCTGATTCCATTACACACTTTTTCAGCCAAAAATGATTTGAAACGCAACATTAAACTGCACATTTCTACAACAGAAGATAAAAATCTGGTAAAGGTGACAAAAGAG